ATGCTTAGCAGATTTTAGGCAATTTATGACTTTGTTGCATATAATGACGCTGAATTATTTGATACTACAATAGCTGACTGGTAAATTTTAAATATCGTTAAATGAGATTTTTTGCACTGCATTGCCGGCACCAAAAATGATCTATTATTGTACTAAAAACTGAAGTAAATATTATTTTCAATTATCAAAATTAAATTTACAAAATGCACCATTTAAAATTTTAAAATGCTACTTGTTACTTTATCAAACTATTTTTAACTTTTTTAAACTAAAAAACTAAAAAAATAACAAATTTTTTAACATTTTAAAATTAGTTTTTCTTAAATTTTATATTAAACTCATTTGCACTTTTGCTCATTTTTAACAAAACCCTATTTTTGTTTTTGATAATAAAATTGCAATTTACTTTTTTGACCCAAATTGAAACCATTTTATTTTGCATCAGTAGTACCTCACACATGACTCTCAATTCCTACTATTGCTTCATTGCACAAATTAGAATAACAAACGAAATTGCGACAAAAAAACAAAAAATATCTAAATTTATTTTACGTTATCACACGCTTGTGTAATATTTTAGCTCTTTGTTTAAAAAAATAGCAAAAGATTGTATATGAGAGCAAACCAAATTTTATTATTCAAATATTTTTTTGCATTGTCATTAACTTTTACTTAAAAATGGCTATACTTTAATGAAAAATAGTAACATGTGTTTTATATGAGTATGGTTATAAAATCAACAAATTTGTAAAAATTAATATTAATTATATCTACTTGTATGTACTTGATCAAATTTGAAAATTTTAAAATTGCATAAAAACAGTGATAAAACAATAAATCAATATTTTTAATTTAAAATTAAATTTTTTATTTTTGCAGATTTTATTTCTGTTGTTTTTTCGTAAAAACAAAATAAACAAATCAATAGTATTGACTATATAATCTAAAATTCAAAGACTTTAAAATAAAAACGAAAGTTTTTCTAAAGTTATTATGATACAAAAAAATTTACCAATTTTAATATTTTTTGAAAGACAATCAATTTGCTTGAAACTGATAAAAATGAGCATTGTGAAACTACTAGCAAAAAGAAACTTTGTTAATGATCGATGCGTTGATAAAGTGTAAAAGTTCATTGAGATCATTGCGACAAAAAATGAGCGTGTAAATGAATAGAAATAAAAATTATAATTAATAAAAAAATTTAACAATAAAAATAAATAATAACAAAATGAAGACACTGAATATACAAGTCGTCAAAGTGACTTGCTCATCTACTAGTTAATTGTCGATGATTAATTATTAACGCATAATTAAAGTCGATGTGCAACAGAATTATCAATAATGACTGCAAAAATCGATTCTATTGATTGTTTATTATATCAATGAAAACAAGTAAAAATTGTGTTTCAAAAGATGAGTAACAATGACGATGATAAAACAAATGTAAAAACACAAAAATGTTTAAAAATTTAATTAATAAATTAACAAGTTATAGCAAAAAGGCAAAAAATCTAGTTTTTCTTTTAGATTGCTTCAGCATTCAAACGGCAAGCTCGTTTAGGCAATGTTTACACTAGGCAAAAGGAATTGAAGAAACGCACAGTGAAACGTTCTGGCATGTCTTTTGCAAGTCGCTGCCTGAAGTCGTCTGCACTTAAGTGCTAAAGATGCAGACAACTACCAACGCATCAAGTCGGCTGCACTGCATGGCTTTTTCAGAAAGGAGAGAAAGGAAGAGAAAAGCCGGTAAAGAGATGAGAGAGAGAGAAAAAGAGAGAGAAAAGTAAAGTGTTTCTATGGCGCATACATGCGTTTNGGGAGAGAAAGGAAGAGAAAAGCCGGTAAAGAGATGAGAGAAAGAAAAAGAGAGAGAAAAGTAAAGTGTTTCTATGGCGCATACATGCGTTTGGACACAGATAGCAAACATCACTTGTAAGTAGTTACGCAGGCGTAATAAAAAGTTGAATTTTATGCAGTTTATAACAGAGACATGTGTAAAGATAAAACAAACTATCTTTGTATTAATTGTTTTTTAAATTAAAATATTGAAATAAACTTTAAATTTATTACAAGTTTTTTAAAAAGTTTGTATGTTTAATGTGATATGATTTTTTAATAAAAAAGTTTTATCAAGTATAAAATGAATAATTTAGAATATTTTTACAGTATAATGTGATTACTAAATTGAATTTGTTGTATGCTTTGCTCTATTAATAAACTTTTTTTTACTTGAAAAATGTGACATTTTTTTCTACAACGAAAAATGTTCAAGTGTTTTTCAATTTTGTTCCATAATGAAAACATTCCAGAGTAAGTGTTTCTGGCATTGTTTTTGACAGGTACAACCAAAAATCGACAAGTTTGAGAAAAAAAATCTTTTAAGTCAAATGTTTTAAACACATGCTGTTGCAGTTAAGATGTTTTTTTGCAAAAAAGTACTGTGAAATTAATTAATTATATGCGCCACTATTTAACAGAATAAAGGTTTAAGTAAATGTTTGAAAAAAATTAAATTTTTAAACGGTGACAAAAGACAATGGGGTGATAAAATGCAACAAAGTAAAAAGTTAAACATAGTTTAATTAACTTTTTAAATTAAAAACTTTAAATAATGCTGCAGTGCCATACTGCGTATTTTTTAAATTTTTGCGTTTAAACTTTTAAAGTAATTGTTCTTAATTTATCAAAAATTTTTGGTGTATTAAAAAAGGTAATCTGATATGATTATCACAGCGGTTTTAAAAATTAAAATAAAGTTTTTGATATTAAATTAAGTAACTTTTTCAAACTAAATTTCTAGCTACATATCTCATCACTTTTGTATATTTTATCTGATAAACGACCTCAACCGGCAAAAGTTTGTTTTCAAATAAAATTCAATAACGCCACCAAATATATTGAGCAAATCACAGCTACGTTGAAACATCAACAGCAGGAAACCGCCACGGGAATAGGCAAGTGATTTGTCTTAAATGTCTTCTGCTCAAAGAAGCATTTTGCAGCTGAAAAAGATGCTGCTGCAAACCGGACTGGGTACTTAGTGAGCATTTGAAAAATTGATTCAACTTACGGTGATGCAGCAGTAAGCACAAAGTTATTCGAGACAGTTTGAGACTGTTGCCGCCATTTCAAAGTGAACCCCAAAAATGGCAGCAACAGCAGTGGTAAATGGTCGGAAACTTAAATACAGAAAATCAAATAAATCGAGATAAATAACTTTTTATGGTGAGCTCGGCAAAAAAAGCAGACACTGAGACGGTGGCGGTGAATGAAATTTAATGCTAACTCAGTTGCCGAGTCGTTCAACTGTCTCCAAACAGCACCGCCGACTGCAACAATGCAAAAGGCTTTTAAATTAATTGCCTCTAGTCAATTGTGCAAAAGAATGCGCTCTTATTTATGACACTGGCAATAAAGTAGCTGGACAATGGGCCAAACGGAGGGGAAAAACTAAAGATGGCAAGGGAGGAAGGCTATTTTATATGAGAGCTTTTTTGTAGAGAAACNTTTATTTATGACACTGGCAATAAAGTAGCTGGACAATGGGCCAAACGGAGGGGAAAAACTAAAAATGGCAAGGGAGGAAGGCTATTTTATATGAGAGCTTTTTTGTGGAGAAACTAAGCTTTTTTAAGTTATAAAGAAAGTCATAGTTTTGCTTATTATTGGACAGTCAATTATGAAGTAGTTTGAATAGTGTTTGAGATGTTCTTTTTTATTTGTTTAATTTGAAATAAATACAGAACTTTGTGTATCAGTAAACATTGTTTCACCGTGCTATTGTTTTTGATAAGCCTATCTCTGCTGCTCTGCTCACATAATAAACTATGCGGTTGACTGAAAATAATTTGCAAAATAGTCAAAAGCAGCACAACTTGTAACTTGAAGTCATTTTAGACACTGTTAGAGATTAGTTTAGGCCATCTGTTGAGCAAAAATGGGCTTGGCAGCTGCTAAATAGAAAGAACCGTAAAGTTAACTAAAGGCAACTAAAAAGTACACGTGTGAATAACTGGTTGAACAAAATTAAAAACCGCAAACAGAGGATGATTAAATAAAGATCAGCAAATTCAGCAGTTAAAATCTAAAAAGTAAAACATAATTTAAGATTGGTCAAATTTACTTAACCATACCTGTATCACTTCTACGTATTATTGATCGCCCAGAGATTCTAACATAATCTTCATTTGCGCAAAAGTTAATTTTCGTGTTAGTTTTCCATTTGCAGTTACCAAATCCATCCTTGTTACGTTTTTCACAGATGGCTATTCTAATCACAAACAATGAAAAAGCAAACTTTTTTCATGAACTCAGCTCTGTTGTTTTGATTTTTGCTTCAAAATGTTTCATCAATTTGTTTTACATGCCAGCAAAACAGCAGAACGATAGTTTCAATGACGATTGCAAGAGTGAAAATGTAAACTGATGAACATAATACTATGTTTATAACTAGAAAAAATATCTAATTTTACGTCAAAATGCATTGCGAATGACGATGGAAAATTGACAAAAAGAATTGTCATTTATACCAATTTAAGTTTATACAAATTTGTAGTATTTGTCTTCTTAAGCAAACGCCGACAAAATCTGGTTGATCATTATCATTGAACTGTTCAAAAGTTCGTTTTGCTACAGTATCTTTTTTAGTAGAAGCATCGTTTGGTTATCGTTTTCAACTAGTTGCAAGCAAGTTTTATGTGGCAACATAAACATTTTGCAAAATAATCTTTACTTTGATTTCAGTTTTGGTTTCGGCGTTTGCTTTGATGATTTTTTAAGTCTTATAAAAATGCGATTGCAATGATAAATACTTGTAGGATTTAAAAATATTCAACGTTTTGCAAAATACACTTTTAGCAAAGTTGTTTATAACAAGTTTTAAATTTTTAAATTTGAATTTATTGGTCAACTACCTAACAATAATTTATATAAAATTTTTCAAAATCAGCAAGTTATTTGTTTTTAACCGATTGTTTTCTAGCCATTGGTAAATAAAATCACAGCGTAAACCGATCCAGAAGTTCGATGATATGATCGTAAATCAGTCGTCCTGCATCGAGACCATGCAAGTAGTCCGCATGTGACCAGTTACTGGCTGGTATCACATAATCATCCAATGCTACGCCAGCCTTCTTCAGCACAGCTATCAGTCTCTCCTGATCAGGCACTGTGGACATTTCATCTCCGTCTGACCTAATCAGTGCGATAACTGCCTCCCTGGGTATTGCCTGCAGTGGAAAGTCAGGCACTGTCGCCTGGCCGTACTTTGCCGCATTCTCCGCCCTTGATCGGTAGTCAAATCGCTCAAACCGCCGCGATATTACCAGTTGAGCCCAGTGCAGCAGCTCCCAACTGCCCACCGAGGATGCGTGCTGTGAGTAGACCGAGACTCGGCTCTCATTAAGGTGCGTAGACTTCCAGAAAACACCAGACAGCCAGGCGGGAATCGTGAACTGGTGCGGTCTTTCGAGGAACAGCGACATAACCAGAGCAAGTTGGCGAATAGACACCGAAGGAATGGGCGACTGGACGCCACTGACGGTGGTAATTGGCGCCATGGCAATGAATGGCCGAACGATGCGGCCGTATTCTGGTCGGAGTGACATTAAGGCGAACATTATTGCTGTTCCCTGGCTGAAGCCAACGTAGGCAACCGTTTCTGAAGAAGTAATTTTCTTGATGTAATCAATCACTGCTGGCAAATCAAATTCAGCCATGTGATCGAATGAATACCGCCAAAAGGCATCCTCTTGATCTGTGGACAAAAATGATTTGCTCAGTTTTACCATGATAAGCGTATTTTTTGTTATGCACTTACTTGAAAACTTGACATGCTTTTGTGAGTAGAGACTTCCTCTGGTATTACTATTTGGAAAAAGTGAACAATTGTTGTCAAACTTTAGCTTTGTTTACTAGCTCTCACCTTAAAAATACATCATATCTTCCAGTCATATGAAGGCCAAATCCAAGGTTGTCGCCCGATTTAGAATTGTTGTTCTCCAAAAAGGGCGAATTGATGAGAAACTCAATACTGGAGCTAAAAATGCCATGCTGAATTAGGACTGGTTTCTTAATAGTTGAGTAGTGGTAGTAGTCTTCAGGCAAACCAAGGCGCTCTTTGCGATTAACCAGGCGATGCAAAGCGAGAATGTAGCCATCTTTGGTGATGACATTGTGCACTTCAATATCGAAACCACGAGAACGAACAAGCTCTTCAATGGATCGACCTACGTCAGGATCATCGGCTATTGTGACAAGGATGAAACAGTTAAGAACTGTGAATTTAACCAGAAAAAGTGACAGCTTCATTTTGAAACAACTTTTGATGAGATGAGATCTTTAGATTTCCTTCATCTTTATGTTTCTTTTTATGCAATGGGTGTCAATCAGTTTTCAATCTAGACGCTATCTTAAATTGCAAACCACTTATCTGCATTTATCTTTTTTTAGTTTATATATATTTGCTAGTAGATGCAAAGATATGGTACTGAGTGAGTGAACAAAGATAAGTTTGTCGTATTGTGATGAAAGACCATCAAACTTGTGGTTGCCCATTGACAAATAGTAAACAGTGGGAAACACTGTTTTAGATCAAACCGGATCAATTGGAAAGTATCGTTAAGCACTGAAATTGCCTTGTTAGTTGAACGTTTACGAAGACAAGGAAAGTTCTTTTCCAATCTGTAGTGATAAAACATCAGGGAACTGCAGTCAGTAAACTCCACGCAAACATTGGCATTATCAAAATCATTCGACTGATAACTAACCGTTGGTTTGAGTTTTATCAAATATTAGTCTATTTTTCTGACGTCTTAAACCAAACAAAATTGTAGGGCATTCACATGTTTACTTTATTTGCAAATTATTTTAAAAACTACACAAAGTATTATTTTTAACTTTAAAAAATGGAAAATTAAACTGATCTTTACCTAAAACTAAATAATGCCACCTTTAGTTAAACTTAAAATTTTTTAAATTTAAAAAATAAACTATTTTTTTATAAATTCCACAGCAAATTCTTAAACTAAAAAAACTTGACAAACTGACAAGACGATAAATTAATTTTAAATCAAAATGCAGCTACACCTTCTGAAATAACACAAACTAAAAACAATTCAAAATTGAAAAGAATTCTGAGCATTCTGTTAGCCTATCAATACTAAACATTTAATCACAAATAAAGTCAGTAATGCGAGTACAAAACAACACACTTTTAAATTAAAATTTGGGTTTTATGAAAAGACAAATTAACATAATTTAATATACAACATATGTTTAAACTTAAAACAAATATGCTACTACTGACATTATTTTTAAAACAGAAGTGAATTAGTCATGAGCTAAATTTTTAACTTTAGTGCTACCGTTTTGCCTAAAAAACTGTAAATGAAATTACAAACTGAGTGGAACAGCTTGTGCTTCAAAATAACCATGGTTTTTTGTTTTTAGTCAACAATGTTTAAAACATGTTAAACAAATGAATCAGGGTTGGGAAAGATGTTTCTTGTTAAGGCAAAAACATGCTGGCATTTTTATTAGCCATTTTAATGTCAATAAAGTTTAGCGTACAAGTTTGAATCAAAATATTGTTTAGTGCTTGCTCAACAATCAAATTTTTTTCCAAGTGCATTCATGTAGAATTTAGTTTTTTAAAAAAATAAGTGAATTGTCAGTAATGTGTCAGTTAATTACAATGTAAATAATTACTTGCTAAATAAGTTGATAAATATAAAAATAAAATTATTTTGACAAAACTTGATATGCTGAACAGTAGACCCTTT